TACTTCTAAAATGAAATTGTTGAGGAAATAACGGTGGTTTCTCTTTCGGCCTATGTTCGATTTTTAGTTTTTGAAAGATGCATAACTAAAAAAGTACGAAACAATTGCTATCTCATAGAAACTCAATGCTCTTCCATTATTCTATTAACGCATATGATTGGCCTATACGGCACGTGAAATATGTATATTTAAAACGCATAGAGAATTACCTTTATTGTAGGAGCAATATAATAGGCTATATATTTCTACAGAACAGTAATAAATAAGCAGTCTAAATAGCCTTGCAGGCCAATGGCCTGTCAGTAGGCGTTGTTTTAAGATGATTTTTAAAGTCGCTCCATAGGAATAGGAAAACTGAACCACAGCTCATTCAGAGGGAAGGACATCAAACTAATATGTAAAAAAAAAAAAAAAATATATATATATATATATATATATTTCCATTTGGACCTCAAAACTGTATTATAAAAGCTGCATGACAATGATTTAAAATGCATCTATTACTAAATATTCATCATATCTAGTAGGTGGTCAATAAAAATGCTGTAGACATATGAGCAACTTGGCTCGTCATTTACACAAGCTAGATGATGAGGCTTTACAGGCCTTAGTGAAACACGGTAAATCAACTGTTCCTACTGTGAATTAAACTAGTATGTTTAGCATTCAGAATAACTCCTACGTCTAAACGATTCAAAATATTTGACTTTTGACCCTATCGTAAATCCAAATAATATTCTACATGTTAGCCTATAATGTAGGCTATAATTAACAAATAAAATTGATTAAAAAAAATCTAATTTGCAGAAATGTATAAGAAATGCCAACCACTACAAGTTTTTTTCAGGTGATGAATGAGACTTTAACTAGATAAACATTGAATTTAAAACAACTATTTTTTTTACTCCACTAACATCTAGCCTAAGAAAAAAAATTAGGAGTTTCCAAAGACGGATTTGACTGTTTTAGGTTTAAACATTCTGGTGTGTAGGCTTCTTCATGCTATTCCTTTAAATCAATGTTGCCAGTCCAGATTCTTGAAACTGTTTAACGTGTTTAGCATGTTTGGTTTTAGTTGACATAAAATTTCTGTTTATCACCTTTTTTTTTTAATCCCTCGCTCTAGCTTCTAATGTTACAAAGACAGGAACGTGCAGTACTTAATTTGAGAAGGCTATTGCCTGTGGAAATTGCTTGATGTCGTCCTCATTTGTCGCGTTGGCTAAAAAGCGTATGCTGAATTTATTCTGAAAGAAAATGTTAAATAGTTTATTATTTAAAAAAAAAGCTAAAATATTTAATTCTTAATTTGATGCCCAGTCCGAAATACTCTTACAACAAACAGGCCTGTACTGGGCGCAAAAGGCTGTATAAATGTCTTTCATGTTAGACGCCATGTGTTGTCATAAAATGGTACAGATAAATATACAAACCCACTTATGTTGGACTGTCGGAGACTCATAATCACATCCGTTATACAGTCTGAAACCTATAGATCACACCTCTGTACAATAGGTTTTCTCGAGTTTTGTTGCCTATTTTCAGTTTTGCTTCTTGAAGAACAGTACGATCATCGAACCTGACAAGACGTCTCTCCCGTGCGGCCTTTATCATTTGTGAATAAATTAAACATGGCGTCTACTCTGTAAAAGGTCAACTAATAGGCTTCTTCGGCCATATAGCCTACTCTGAAATTAATAAAGAAAATTAGGCTAGATAACACTCAACACATGCGCGCGTGTGCATTATCCTTAATTCACGTTCTTTTCGGCTTAATTCATTTATTAATCAGGGGTCGCCACAGCGGAATGAACCGTCAACTTATCCAGCTTCTGTTTTACGCAGCGGATGTCGTTGCTGCTGCAACCCATCACAGGGAAACGTATGTGTATTTGTGTGTGTAGATAGATATGCACTCACGTGTTTGTGTGTAATCAGAACATATATGATAATGCAGATAGGCTATATGAATTAATTTATAAATTGAATACCTATATGATCGAAGTAACCACATGCAGATGGATTTATCCATCCTACGTTTGTTTAGCTAATTCTTCCAATTTACCACGATTGTCACTTTATTCAAACGATATCATTGTTATTAAGTGCAATGGTTTATTATATAATAACAATTATCTTAATTACTTCAGATAGACATTAAATATATTTAAAAGATGAGAAAACATGACACGTTGCACCACAAATCGCAGACAAAGTGCTTTATTGTTTTGAGCAATGCTTATGGAATGGAGTGTATATCGTTTTACATCATAACACATGAGACAGCCTCCCCTTTGGTTACTCTCAAGATTTTAGACTCATTTCTGTGAGTGTGATGATGCAGCGCTTCCCCTTCACTCCTGTTACCTTCCCCATTTAGATAGAGTCACAGACGATGTGATTGTTCTTTATTTGTTTCGACACGCGTGTAAACCTGCATATCCAAAACACAACCCATCCGCTAGCGATATTCGTAAATGTTTAGAAAGTAAAAATCGAATTGCTAAAAAGTACATTACATTTTTCCCAAAGCTTACGCGATGAGTTATCCATCAGCGAACACATTGAGCAAAGAATGCTTTTGGCAAACGAAGAACAAAGTGGAGGGCTTTCTGAGAAGGCGTGAAGCTGTATCTGACTGTAGCACTTTTCACATTAAGTGAAATTCACATATATATCTCTGCGTGTGGATCCAGTATCAGAAGCTGAAGCGATGCTCTGACGACACTATCAAAGTCTTGATGCTAAAACAGCCTCTTTTGTCATGCCCAAGTTTATGAGATTTGTTTTTTTTTTCTGTTGTGATTAATACAACCAAGAAGACCAGGGTTTGTTTTCTTCCCAATGAGAACAATAAAAAGGGTTATTTTTCCCCCACTGTGCAATGGCTTCCCAAGGGCACAAGCAGCGCTCAGTTTATTAAGAAAATGAAACACTAACCAAGGACGCCGTAACATTGGTGCCGTATAATACTTCCAGATAAAAATGCGTCGAGAAAGCCTGAACACAATTTACAATTAACACTATAACAAGAGCCACACCTACTCATATCAACAAATTCACAATGCACACTCTTGTCCAAAAGGCTTTGCACATAGAATTAGCCAGTCAAGGAGAAATTGTGACCATTTTCAGTGCTGCTGTGTTGTGAACAGAACGTGTAATGTCTTGTGTCCCGTTTGAAGCAACAGCATCAGAAGAAACATCAAAACATCAGAGGAGAAAAAAAAACGAAAAAAAAAAAACACTGAAAATATCAGGATTATTTTTTCAACCACCCCTAAATATTAGAAAATAACATTTTACTTCTGTTTGAAAAAAAAGATTAAAAAATACAGAATTAAATAATTTGGAGTAAAAAGGCACGACTCTTGCACAGTGTATACATTGAAAACACAGTATAAAGCAGGTATGGAACCATCTTAAAAAACAAAAATAGACCTGGGGTTGGGGATTAGGGCAAGGGGCGGAAAAGCATGGAATATAGACCATCTCTGGACACGTCCAGACTGAATACTAAAATAATGCAACATGCATTTTTCCTCTTTTTCATTTGTAGACAGTACTTGTGCTGAATGAATTAAAATAGTAACATTCTTCATTTCTCAGAACACTTTGAGCGAATCACAGAGTGGTGCTTAATTAAAATTGAATGTAAAATATGTGCAAGTGACCAACAGAAACACGAGGCGTTTTCTCTCTTTCAATTAGAAAAGTTAAGAAACAAATGTTAATCTCTAAGTCATATTACCTGCTTCTAATTCAATGCCGTTTACAAAAGTATTCTCCTGTTACATGTATTAAATTTCCCTTGTAAATACCACTGCAGAACCAACAAACTCCGTGAACATTTTGGTTCCATTCATCATGTGCAAAATCAGTTCATCTTTTGCTGCCAATTTGAACGTTCAAAAGAACTGCGAACAAAAGACACACACAAATTCAAACACAACCAATGTTTTAAAAAGACAGAAAAAAAAATACACAAAGCACCCCTTCCCCAAACCTCAATGGAATACTGAAACACAACTAAACGGTGTGTCCTGGTACGATGCGAGAGGTAAACTATGTTTTGTCTGCTGAGAACAAGCGTATGCGCGAGAACACGTGAAATGGCAAGGCTGCGTTGAACAGTGCCTCATAGTGCTATCGTTGCAGCTCGTAACAGACCGAGTGATCCTAAGAAAAAGTGCAACAGTTTAAGGTGCTGATGGCAACTGAATCACTAATGTAACAGAATTCACTGATGACCAAAGCAAAAGCACTGATCGATCCTGCTGCCTCAGTGTCTTCATTCTCCCTCCTGTCAAGTTGCTGCAGAACCAAACAAACAAACAAAAATAATAAACACAAAAAAACTAAATACCTACCAGAACCTTCGCCTCAGAACACTGAAGGAACATGCATAACAGATTCATGTCTGTCCACACAAGGCAAGTGGGGGGGTGATGGGTCATCCTTTTGTAAATGGCTCAAAGAGTGTTTCTGGTTACTCTGTCCAGAGCAAGAAGAGAACTGAGAGCAAAGAAAGTTAGCGAGTATTTGCTGTGGGTGTCCACAAAACTGGTGGAAAAAGCTAATCGGCAGCCGAGTGTTAGAATTTGATGAACAAAGTGTGTGATGATGGAAGATTCAGTGAGAGACCAACGTTTGGTTTTGGCCTCTTTTTTTCTTCTACCAACTGTGCCACAGACCATCACATGGGCTCTCTTTAGTCTCACCATCCGTCCTCTTGCAATTTAAAAGGCAAGAAAAATATCAAATTGGAACAAACAAAAAAATGAGAATAAGGGGCATGCATAAGAAAGCAGTTAAAAAAGCCCAACCCCCCCCCCCCCCCCCCCCCCAAAAAAAACAGTTCTACTGTTGTCCTTTTCCATCACTCTCATGGTCCCACAAAAACAAAGAACAAATAAATGAAATCAAAATGTAAACAAATGGTGGTTGTAGCTGCGGTAGGGGTGCCCCCCTGTGGCAGAGCAGGTTTTCAGCACCCCTCTGCTGGCGTCCCTCTCTTCATCCCCCCAGTGGACTCAGCTGTTTCAGACTAGGGCAGGATGGTAGTGATGAAATCATAGAATCTCTTCGAGTACTGCTCTGGGTTCACTGTGGAGATCTCTGCCCCGGCCTAAGATGAAAAAACCATGAGAGTGGATGCTTCTATAAAAGGTTTCAGTCATGCATGTGTTCTGGAGCATAAATGATGAATGAAGTGCATCGGGGAATTCTACAAAATATTCCTCAGTGAATATATATATATATATATATATATGCATAGCAGACGGGGGGATACGCACTTTTAGAGACATACCATTTAGAAACAGGTAATTAAGAATGTATACCTTTGTATTTTATACAGCTGCCCCCCCTCACTTTTAAAATGTCCACTACACCCCTGTCTGTATATATATGTATGTATGTGTATATATATATATATATATATATATATATATATATGTATATGTATGTATGTATGTATGTATATATATATATATATATATATATATATATATATATATATATATATATATATATATATATATATATATATATATATATGCATGTATGTATGTATGTATATATATGTATATATATATATATATATATATATATATATATATATATATATATATATATATATATAAACACACACAGTGCTCTGCTCAGCATATATAGGTACACCCTTCACAAATCTATCTTTTAAATTTCAATTTTTAATAGGAAGCTATACAACATTATATTTGTGCATATACATTAGATTAGTCAGTACTGAAGCCAAATCTGGAGCTTATCTAACAAAATAACTTGCGATAACGGTCCAAAAACTAGTACATCCAAATTTATGTGTTAGGGAAAAAATATTAAATATTTAAAAAAAAAAAAGAAAAATGTACTTGAAATGTTGTAGTTTGTTATTATTGTTATTACTATTTTTAAAATACTTTGCTTGAATTTAATTGTATTATCTTTCTATTTCTATTTCTTAATCTGTTTGGTGACTAAAATATTTTAATAAATCTGTTTTGTTTAAATGCACCAAAATACCTTGTCTATATTCACTGAGAAATGGACCAAAATATTCTTTTTCAAAATGGGGTGTACTCAATAATGCCGAGCAGTGTCTTAAAAGTGTCTACTTTACTGTTTCAAATAACTTTCCTGAAATGTCAAAATATCTGTGAAATAATGTCGCCTTGTCACTGAGTGTGAGAACAGTACATTTATGTGAAAATTAAACAACATTCTTAATCTGAGCTGGGCTTGTTAAAATATTTTAAATAACAAGAAAGGACTATTATTGTAAATATTGTCTTATTTATCTTATCTGTTGTTACACAATAACATTTTAGGGAGTTTCTTCAGTAAATCATGATAAAAAGTATTTTTTTCCCCAGAATTTGTTTATTAAACAAGATGTTCTCATGTATGAAATGGTTTTAAGTTGTATTATATTTTTTTATTGTTTTGGATACTTTCAAAGTTTGCTAATGTTTCTTCTACACATTAGAGAAAAACACTGTTATTTGGTCATTTTACCTAAATATACCTATATATATACCTATATATATATATATATATATATATATATATATATATATACATACATACATACATACAAATTTTAAATAACTGATTTCTTATTGTGTGTAGCTTCAAATGAAATTATTAGTCCAGTCATTATTGCTTTTATTACTAATACATTAATAATAATATCAATAATAATAATAAATATTAGAATGACTTCTGAAGGATCGTGTGACTGAAGATTGACATAAAGAAGCTAAAAATTCATCTTTAAAATCACTGGAATAAAATATTAAATTATAAACTACTTTTTATCGTGCAATAAAATTTTACAATGTATACTGTATTTTTGATTAATTAAATGCTAATAATTCTGACTTCAACTGTATGCATATATATATATATATATATATATATATATATATCAAAAAAAGATTATATGTACTGCATGTAATATACTGTAAGAGACAAACAATTTATGCTTTTTTATTACAAATTCCAATAAAGTCTATGGAGAAAACCAGTAATTGACAGTTTCTGAATGGTATAATCACACGATTTATCTTTAAACAGTTTTGTTTCTTCAATTTTTTAAAACAATAATTATGTACATTTTGGTTTTGTGTTGCATTTATATTAACGAGTGAGCATTAATCACTTTATTTGAGAGACATTTCTGTTACCCTGACAGTGTTTTGTCAGTGTTTATGGCATCACATGTCCACCTGTACTTTTCTGATAGTAATCAGTAGAGTTGCACAATATATCGCTTCAGCATCAATATTGCAGATCTTTGCAGTGTGATATTTACACTTACATATAAGAAACCATAATGCATGCACTGTTTATTTCACTTTTGTCTTTGCTTTGTTGCATTTATCTATTCTTGTAGTTTGTGTATTACATGTTATGCATGATTAACTCTCCTACAGAATCATCCCAATCAATCAAAATTAATACATTCAGTAACACTTTAGGGACCAATTCTCACTATATACTAATTGCTTATTAGCATGCATGTTATTGAGATATTGGCTGCTTTTTAGTACTTATAAAAGCACATGTTTTATATGATCTTATTCTACATCCCTAATCCTACCCAATACCTAAACTACCTCAATAATTATAAATAAGGAGCAAATGAGGAGTTTATTGATGCAAAAGTCAAAGTGGTTTGCTAAGAGCGAGAACTGAACCTGAAAAAATACATCGTGACCCAAAATTCTCTCCAAGTATAACAAAATATAATCGCAATATATCTCACCGAAAAAGTAAATATTGCAATGTCAAATTTTTACAATATCTTGAAGCCCTAGTATAAAGTTAGCTTACACATTTATGTTAGAACCTAGTGAAATACAATGCGTAAAAGTACTGACACATCATATATCAGAAACACAGTCACAGTATTTCTTTCTGAAAATGATGATGATGACCACCGCTGTAATTTTTACCATGAACAGGTATTTTTAGTGTAATAGCTATAAAGGGTAATGGGATTTTTAAAATATTAACAACAATTATATTTAAATGTAAACAACAACAAAAAAGCACTCACCCCATGTTTTACTGTCTTGGCTGCATGGGCAGCCTTTTTCTTGGCATCATAATGCTGGAGGATGTCGATAACAGCCATAAAATAGACCTCCTTTCTTGGAGAATCTGGGGAGGAGGTTTATGACAGGCTTTTATCATAAGATACATGAACAGGATATTCAACAATGAAAAAATAAGTGGCTTATGTGTGAAAGCTGGCTGTTATTTAACAGAATGTTTCATTTTATTAATATTATTTTCATCATCTGACTCTATAGACGTGGTCAGCCTATTAGATTGTGAAAACAGCTTAGATGATTTTAGGTTTAGGAATAACATGCATGGATGATCAGAAACATAAGAAAACTAAGTGTTATGTGGAAAAATAAGTTTTAGTATCGCAAATGCCGAGTTCAGACTAAATGATGACTTTTCACCGACGTTTCACCGAAGTTTGAGAAATCGCTGACAAATGCCTGAAATCACAGGCAAATCAGTGCTCGTTCATGTGAGTGACAATCACACAGTCAGATCTGAGAGAATCGCAGATGAGTCGCTGACACCTGTGAGATATTTGGCGTGCTAAATATCTGGAGCTGTCCGCGATTCAAATCATGCCATGTGAAATGTGCTCTGACTGAAAGTAACATCAACAATTACCTACAGCCAATGAGAGAGCAGCATCCACTAGTATGGGTCTCTGCAGGCCAGATGGAGTGTTGGGGAGAAATTACAAGGGCTTCTTTTCGGTCTATTTGGACTTCGGAATGGAGGAAAAGCTAGTGGAAATTTAGCAGGAGAACCCATGTCTGTTTGATGTGTCATCTGAGAAATACCACAACCAGCTCCAAAAAGAAAAAAGTTTGAAAATTGCTACTTCCCTTTAAAAATGTCAGGTGAGCAAAATAAGTACATTTTCTACCCCACTAAAGGCTTCTTTCTCATTAGATAGTTCATAACACAAGATATTCTACGTAACCTTTTCCATGTCACTTCTCACATGTGTTTGGTTGTGAGATGTAGTTTGTGGACTGAGACAGAGTTGTCGGCAGGGCTGGCGCATCCATAGAGGCTACCTAGGGGACTGTCTAGGGCGGCAGAATAAAGAGGGTGGCGTCCGCTACACCTCCCTCAACACCTGCGTCCTCAGTTATGTCCGCGACACCTCCCTCACCCCCCGCCGCCTCAGTTATATCCGCCCCTTGGGCGGCAGAATAAAGAAGGCGGTGTCCGCAGCACCTCCCTCAACACCCGCTCTTCAATTTGATAACCGGTAATTTCTGTTTGCACTGTCGGGTTGAGGGCGGCGTGATCGTCCTTTGCCTAGAGCTTGCTGAGGCCCTGGTTGTTGGTGATTCTTCCTATAGTAAAGTCATGCAGTGTGTCAAACACCCGGTCGTCAATCCATCTTGCCACTAAAACACAGCGTTGACGAAATGCTACCAAAGATAGACACGCAGTGTGAAAACATCCGAGACATGATTACTTTGAAAATCGTGCTGTCTGAACTCAGCATTACAGAAGAGCAACATCTAAAGATTTGCCAAAATGACCAGGCAAATAATGCTGTGAAAAGTTAGACACTAAGCATAATCTTGAAGGACATGATGCATGTAAGGAGCATTTACAAAAGTTGTTTTGGTAATTAAATGTGGTTTGCTTTGTTGTAAAGCTATGGCATATGTCAAAAACAGAGGAAGGCCCCATTAAGACAACACATTAGCTCCACTCACTGTCATGGCTTTTGATGGCATAGACGTCAATATTGGGGTCGAAATCTCCCGGCGAGAGTGGTTTAGTGCTGTCCAGAGTGTTACTGGGACTGTCAGGAGGAGTGCCCACAATCCCTCCATCACTCTCTCCTTCCTCCTCTCCCTCATTATCCTCGCTCTCTACTTCCTCTTGTTCTGCCCTCTCAACGTCATGGATCCCAACCAGCAGGCTGTAGTCCATCAACTTCAACAAGGCTAGGAACTGAACGGAGAGACGAGGGAGGAAAAACAGACAACAGATTGAGGAAGTGCACAAGACAAATGACTCATCTAGTGCAAAAGCAAATCCTGAATTTTTTACCTCCACATCCTTTTGAAGCTTATTGAGGAAGATTTTCTTGCTCTCGTCATCGATGTATATTTTCTGTCCGTCGTTGATAAAGTCATTGTCTTTGTACGTAGGCAGTTCTTTAGCCTGCTTGAAAAAAGGGACAGTGTTTAGCCGATTATGCTCACACTCGCAGACTCTTAAGTGCTTCATCTTTAACATTCAAACAAATGCAGTAATATGATGTAGCGCAGCAGGGGGTGCTATAGATTCACAAATAAGAGGCTGTTCACTGTGTTCAGCTGCGTGTAGTGTCAAGAGACCCACGAATGAACAAATGAGGGAGCTGGCAGATTTAGCTGGTCTACATTTGTATATAGAGATAATCAGAATGGCCTACAAAGGAAATGAATAGAGTTAAAGATGAATGTAACCGGTAAAAGATTGTAAAGGTATAAATAACCTTGGATAGAAATATGGTTTCGAAGTATCACGGTATTGAGATTACTGCTCTAAAATATGTTGTTTTTAACTTTAAAACAACTTTTCCCCCTCTTGAACACCATCCTCCGGTTTCACAGACAAGGCTTAAGCCTAGTCAGAGACTAAAATGTTTCAACTGAAATAAAATAGCACTGCTTGATTTTTAAATATATAAGTGTTTTTGTTTTGTCTCAAGATGCACACCAGTAATGTTTTTTTTCTAAGCATGTTTACAAAAATTACTTAAATGTCCTAAATGAACTATGGCCCAATCCTGGCTAGTCTAAGCCCTGTCTGTGAAACCAGGCCCATATCTTTTATTTTAAGATACATTTGAAATATTTTGGAACAGTAGCTTCTGATGTGGAGGATCCTATTCATCTGGAGAGTTGCTACTGTTGCATTAAAAACTAAATAAAATAGTTGTAAAAAGACAACAACAACAACAAAAAAAAAAAACACATATACCATTTTTGGCGGTTTTAAGTCCTTGAAAACCTTTTTCAAACCACATTTAAACTTGACAACTGTAACTGTCCCATGCCTACATGTAACTACAAGGCACTGAAATGAATATAAATGTAGTGTCTCAGCTTTCAATAATAACACTTCCATGTAATAACCTTTTATGGCTCATTCAAACTATTGAAAAGAATTGCAGGCAATTATTTCTCCTCCATGGTGATTTAAAGCTTGAACCTACTCTAGCGATTCTTTGTAATTTTGGTACTGTTGCTTCAGACTCCAGTGCAGTTTTCAATGGACTTTAACAGCGTTGAACATTTGCAGATTTCACAACTTTCAAGTGCAAACATACACCTATGTTGTTGTGAAATCTAGGTCACTGATAGCCAAAGTGTGTCCTGTTGGTAGGGTGAAGAGCTTTAGGGGAGGGTCTGGTGAGGAAAGTGCATTTAAAGTGACATCAGATAACACGAAAAGTGAACAGACATCCAAGGGAGGGCAATGATTAAATGTTGTGAATCAACTAAAGATTAACACACATACTGGCTTTATTCAATTTCAGAAAAGTGACAGCTATAAAGACACAAAAACACAACAATTTTCCATTCCAATTTTTAACATACTAAAACTGCGCGAGTTATATTTCAGACACAATCTTCTCTTTATTTTTAGTTTCGCTGGAGAAAAAAACCCATTTCAAACTAAACAGATCATTTGTACATCTTAGCTCGTTTCTTTCATACATGTATATTGTAAACAAAATAAGTGAGCCAATGATTCAATCGTCAATTCAAAATGAATGCCACTTGCTTAGTAATTCTGAATGAATCATAATGTCATATTCATGCATGACAGACCAGCCAGGGTACAGTCACAAAAACACTGTGCGGTATATGGTTGAATATCTTGTCAATATCACACATCTCAAGTATGAATGAGTTTTATTGTGCCAGATTCATCTAGTCATGCTTTTCAAAACAGGACACTCCAACCAAAATGGTTGATAAGAAGTCACCAAGCCTCTTACTCAATATTTTCTCATTTCAGCCAATACCCTCCAAACTCATATCACAACATTTTATGAGTCATTCATTTCCTGATAAGTAATATCCAGTGAATATTCTTAAATATGACACATCTTTAAAGTAAAATCACTTGCAACATAGTTTACCTTTAATATATCTTTAAAGTATTCATTTTAGATCCTTTAAATACAAACATACCTTTTAAAAAAGGTACCATCCAAGAAAAATAGCTTGCACCTTTATTTCTTAAAGTGGACGTCAGATTCTAGGGCTATACTGACATTGTAAACACTCAAATATCTGACAAAAACTAAATAAGAAAAAATAAAAAATAATCTATGTATAAAATTATTTGCTGTAAACCTTTTCTATAGTGACTGCCAACATACCATGGCTTGAGAGGAGAACTGTAAACCCGAACGAGAGGATAATTTGAGGTGCAATTATGGAGAAACAGCTCTAGCTTAAAAAAAGACTGTATAAGAAAGCTATACTTTTGAAAAAAACTACTTCAAAGAATAAATTTGTATAAACAAGTACAGGTGCAGTTAGAAAAAAATGGGTGTATTTTCAGAAAACCCAACCAAGGATGTGAAGAAAATAACCTTTTTTTCTACTCCTCTTCATGACCTGGCAAGGCAACAAGCAGCTAAATGGTCACTAAAACAGTGAGCCCTCTGAGAAAGAGGAGAAGCCTTATATCTCACATGCAGGGCAAAAGCTTCATTTATACTTCTGTATTGAGTGATCACCATACCCCACCTCGGCATGTAGCTGATGCCATTGTGAGCATTTATACTTCTGCATCCCATTTACTCTGCAATAACACATTTACAAAACACTAGTAGGCAGTGGGGATTCTATTGTTTAACTGTGTCGAGTTTCTTTGACAGTGTTTTGAGGTTCCATCAGAAATGACCACCATCATCACAGCTAATAAGCCAAACAATCAAAGATCTTGCACTTTACATTGCTCAGAGGTGCGGGTCAGGGTGTTTCAGGGTATGAGACCAAGCAAAGGCTACACCGGACCTGTTAAGCAATGCAATGTAATGTAACATGCATTTATATAGCGCATTTATTGTGCATGGCTATACACCCAAACTGCTTCAAAATCACGAGAGGGGTCTCTCTACCTCATCACCAGTCTGCAGCATCCACTTTGATGGGTAAGGGCCAATGTAGGAAATTTGGCCAGCACACTGGGGTTAAGCCTCTACTTTTTAGGGGCCATGGGATTTTTAAAGACCACAGAGAGTCAGAACTTTGGTTTAAGGTCTGATCTGAAAGACAGCGTTTACTGACAAGTATAGTGTCCCCTTCACTATACTGGGGCATCAGGACTCACGCAGACTGTAGATTGAGCACCCCCTGCTGGCTTCACTAATACTACTGCCAACAGCAACCTGGTTTTCCCATTTCTCCTATTCAGGTGCTAACCAGGCTAAGCAACTACTTTAAATTGGGACTGTTTCTATAGTCTTGTGAAAAGCTGCCTTTTGATTCTAATAGAACAACATCAGGTTTGGCATTTGTCCATCTAAATAAATAGGTAAAACATCATGTATCTGACCTGTATAAAAATACTGCCAGTTTATTCCATATGGCTCATGAAAGACAGAAATGTTGTATTTTGGTCTCATTTTACAATTGTATGAAAACATGTTTGTTGTGATGAGACTAATTTTAAAGAATCAATATTAATAAAATATCATTTAGCATTAAACATTTTAATTCGTCATGATATCATTCGTAATATATCTAGATTTTTGAGTCAGTAGGACTATTTACTGTATGTAGCTTTTATCCCCCTGCAAAATGGATTTTGGAAAACAGCTTTTACACCTAGAAAGTGTCCGACAATATGACAGGGATTAGGGTCTATGGCCCTGTGACAAAATAAAAGGATTAAAGTAGGAGTCGGGTAACCTCATGGCCCTCAGATCACCAGTAGGCCATCTGTTGTTCAGCTCACGGAGAACTTTGACTTAGCCTAGCAGATTTAGGTTCTGTACTACACTGTAAGATTAAGCTTTTATTAGAATATCAAATATTTTTAGTATGGATCTTTTACATGTACCTCCCAAATCCAATGTTGTGTAACCACTGCCGATGCAAATCATTTCTTAAATCCCAAACTGATTTTTTAGTCAAGACTGTTGAATAAGTACATTTATTAACATCCATAGTATTAAAAACTATGGAAGTTAATGGCTACCAGTTTCCAACATTCATTACAATGTCTTTCTTCTTTTATGTTTTACAAAACATAAAAGAAATTCATAATTGTTTGGGACCATTTGAGGGCAAGTATAGAATGATGACTTTTATATTTTAGGGTGAACTATCTCTTTAAATCATGCTTTTTGTTTACAGTGCCAGTGTTGATGCCACTGAAGCTTACAGACTCTTGGTTTAATCTCCATAGCTTAAAAAAGCACCATGGACTCCGCTTCACCTTGACACTCTAAGTATAGGATAGATCTACATCTGTGCACCCGATAATCACACAGACGCTCTAAATTCAGCATGTCTCACACTCTTTCCCAGTAAATTAAGGTGCTCGAAGAGACAAACAATTAGCCACTACAGAATGAGCCATCTTTAACAAACCCACAAGTAAAGAAACATGGCATGCATTAGTCTTTTTTTTTTTTTACCTAAAAACTAATAAGAAAAACAATAAAATATCAAACATGAGAGAATGTTTAAGGGTGAAACTGACCTTTTCTTTGTCACTAGCCTCTCTGGCAACTGTAGAACCCTACACAGAGCAGAAAAATCGAAATATCTCAAAACAAACCACAATCAGTCATCAAGAGTGACTTTGCCAGCCAGTTTGTCCACAATCCTTACCTTCAGGTCATATTTCTTATACACAGACAACCGGTGGCTGAACACGTTGCGAGTGACAATCATATAAGTCTCGTCTCCATCTACAGTGAGGCGGTACATGCCTAGAAACTGTGGCAACAGTGTGGATCCATGACATTCCACAATATACTGCAATAAAGAAACATAATATAACTATGTGGCTAATAAAAGAAGGTAAATGTAAGGTAAAACAGCAATTACATGTATATGCCACTGTAAAGGGAATATAGGAGTCTGTGTGTTCATACCTGGTGGTATTTCTTGAGAATGTTGTGCATCTCGGCCACATCCTCGCTGCTAATGGTCTTGATAACGTACCTCTTGTCGTAGGAGGTATGAAAGCGTGCACCACTTCGGCCCTGAGCTTCACTGACGAGTGGTGCACTGCGGGTCAGAGAGTTCTTGGAAAGAGAAACACATAATGACACAATAAATATAGAAATTAATAAAACAATCATATTGAGCGTTATGATATACTTGCAGCACAGATTTTTTACATTCTTCATTTAGGGGTAAAAGCAGTATTATAGTATTAGCAAACTTCCAGGCACCTCTCAACATATAAATGTGCTGTTCATTTTATTCTCAGATGTTTGTCTTCCCCAATGTTAATAAACTAATTGATTAAAGAGCCCCTGTTATGGGTTTTTGAAAATGACCTGTGTAACACAGCACTAAGGCTGCGTCCAAAACCGCCTACTACTCAGTAGGTACTGCATTTGAATTTAAATGTACTACTCGGCCGTTAGAAAGTACGTTCTATACAGTATGAATGTGAAAAGTATGAATGGAATTCGGACGTACTACATCTGCCATTTTGACATAGTCACGTGTGGTACCTGCGTCATTTGCGTCGCTCTACTACCATTCATGAATTCGCTTGCGGGTCATCATGGGAGAGAGCAGCATGCATGGGATGTGCACTTCAGTCTCGCCGGAAGTAGTAAGTCATCCAGGTACTTCTCGCATACTGTTTTTCGAATTCTATGAATTCGGACATACTACTCGGCTCGCATACTGATTTTAGCATACTGTATAGTATGGAAGTATGCGGTTTCGGACGCAGCCTCTGTGAATGAAAACATCCAGCTGAGGTTTAAATCTAAAAGTGCACCGTTTAAAACGATTGATTCTTTAACGAAATAGTCAACTCAAAGTCAAATAAATGAATCATGTTGAGTTTCGATCTTTAGCCTGAACACATAGACATCAATACAGTACATCACCAAATATAAAGTGCCTGATCTGGTAATATGTGAACGCGTTTTCCTAGATACTAGTGAAGCCCGGGGGATCACAGGACTTATCATGACACTAAAGCAGGTCGCACACACCAAAAGCACCGCTCGGCGATGCGCCGCCCAACGCCACGCAGCATTATGCATTTGAGAATTCTAAACATAGGTTTCTATCAGGGTACACACACCGACGCCGCAAGTTGGCGGCTGTCGGCAGCGCCCAGCCATGACTCAGGACGCAGTTCATATTTCAGCCGCGCCACAGAGCACCATATGATTAATTTCATGTTAAATATCATGCGAATGTGCGTGTCTGGTGTGTGATACTTTAAACTGTTATGTGCACGATGTGTCTCGCCGCCGAGCGGTGCTTCTGGTGTGCGACCTGCTTTAGATGACAATCACTGACAGATGAAAATTCGGCTGTGGGGAATAAACGGTTAAAGATACTTTTCACAACAAAACCACAGTATAGCCAACCATGTGCTGTGTCTGTTTATGTCGTTTTTCAGATTTTTGATACAATAACCTATGCTGCAACACAGGATTTGTTGGCCGTTTGCAAATAAAGAAAGTAGCAGCAGAGACTAATATGTATGGGAATTTGTCAGAAACTTTGTCAGCAACTGTTATAGTTCATATGGACCAGTTGTTTCTTCCTCCGGATCATTACATGTAAGTGATTAAAATTGTTGCCTCATTGTGTAGTTAGCAAAATATTCATTTAATTGTATGTTGTAAGTTGTGATCACTCAATGTGGCCTGTAATCACGTATCTATAATAGATCAGTGTTTGTACTGTATTTCTCAGGTTAAATCTGTATGAGGTTATTCACATATTGCATCTAAAACCACGTTGAAACTGTAAAGCGTGCTTCTTCCTTTACCGATTCTTAACTCGAGATCCTCTGCTATTTGCCTTTGCTAAGGCAACCATCAGCTGTTTTTACATGAGCAGTGCAGTCAAAATAGTTCAACTTTTGCCACTGTGTGGATTAATATTGAATGTGTGTCGTTGTTATTACTTGGGGTTAGGGTTAAGAGTAAAGTAATATGCTGGTGTTTAACTGCATTGGGCTTCCACATACTCTGTGTGCTACTTCAAAGTCATGGTGGGCGTTTCTCTCTGTCTCACGTTGAACCCAGTCAACCAATCACAACAGACTGGGTCATCAGACCAATCAGTGCAGATTATCCTCACGCAAAGGAGGGGTTTGGGAACAAATGAATCGCTGAACAAATCATATGGTAGTCATTAGGATAATAAGGTCAAATTAAATGCATATTATAAGACAATGAGTGTTTTTTGACCTTGCAAGCATGTCAACCTGTTGTTGGAGACCCTCAAAATCACAATATGACCTTTTATAATGCATAATAGGGGCTCTTTAACAGTAAAATTGTGGATCTAAAAAGTAGCAACTGTTTACCTAATCCACCGAATGTGAGCCAGAAAAAGAGATAAACAGCCTACACCTGCCTCTTGAACCTGCTGGTTTCAATCCAGCAACCACTAATGTCATTATCTAGATAACAATATAATGTTATCAGTTTGGCTCAATAAATGCGGAAAAGAATAAATTAATAAAGTATTAAATATCCTAAACTTAACAAAATGACATCATATATCACTGTTCAAATGTTTGGTTGATTAAAGGGTTTTGTGCTCACCAAAGCTGCATCTGACCAAAAATAATACCGTGAAACATTACAACAATTTAAAATGATAGGGTATATGCAGGACTTTTCATTTTTCAGTTACCTTGGTCAAGCATTTAAGGTCTGTTTCTTTAAAGAAATTCGATCTCCACTGCCTGATTGATATACGAAATAAAGTGAGTCTCAGAATGTACAAGAGGCACTGCATTCAATTGAATTTTCTGGCGCCATGTCTTTAAACATGAACATTTATTTTACGCTAGTATTTTCAATGTGTCTACGCTAGCCTGCTGATCTTGACAGTGTGTGTGTATAAATTACTTTTCATCTTGTTTTAAGCTTGAACAACTAAATGAATGCTGAAATCTATTTAACTGATTGTAGTTAAATTGCATTACAACATCAATGCTGTAAAAGGAACCATATAAAATTCAGCTGTATAAAAAGTCACATTAATTCTTCACCAGAAGTTTATCAGCATAGAAAGAAACACTAGTTGTGCATATACACTATTGTTTTCATTGTAATACATTTAGAAAAGGTTATTTTAATTAGGTTATAGGTTATACATTTTGAGAGTCTGCAGCACATGATTCTCCAGAATCATTCTAGTACACCGATTGTCAATTAAAAATTTAACCAATTCTTCACGCATGTGAGTGGGCTTGCCAAACTACCAGTAGGAGAGATACTCTTACCTCCATGTGTGCATGTGTGTGTAAGAGTTTTGCTGCTTAATACTTCAGTGAAAACCCTAATAGAGTATGTTCAACATTCTTTAACATCTTACAGTATTTCAAACTGACATTTTTCTTTATTGGATGCTACACTTGCTGAATAAAAGTCCTTTTCAATCAAAACTGTAATGCTGCATGTTTGTTTGGTTTCTGTTGACTTGTATCATAGTTCAGCTGTCGAGTTTAAGGCTCTGAAGTTCAACATTTGAAAGAGGTTCTCATATCTCATGACTAAACACTGGCTCTCGTGGAAAAAGGGGATGTGAGTTTATGATAACAGCCTTTTGAGCGCAGAACATTTACAGAAATTATTGTCCACAAATACATGGTCACTTTGACTGTTTTTTTTTTTGTCTCTACAACTGAAGTGCTCTGTTTTTGTGTATGTCCCAGTTTCAGGGCAGAAAAAAAAGGCTCATGGTGGACACATGATGCACTTGAAAGTATTGGAAGGTCTGCTCGGTGTGGCTGAGTGACGGACACAGCTGTTCAGTGCAGCTCTATATCCATTGCCAATGTCTGCTAGCTCAAACATCTACACAATTCACACATATCCCCTTTACCTCCCTCTACGAGTATACAATAAAAAATGATTTCAAATCAAGTTGATTTGTATATCACTTTAAATGTGTTTATTTCCCAATTAATAGTCTTTTTACTATGCCATGTAATGTCCACATAGCTGTAATGCACAGTTCTGTAAAGATACAATCACACTGACACATTCAAGCCAGATGAGCATGATTGAAGTGACGATTATTTTCTGTGATCATGATTACAATGTATCAGTGTCTCTCTTCCTCTAGTCTTTGTGCTTGGATTTCCTCATTGACACATAGACCATATTCATCAAGTACACTTCGTAAACGCAACACAGAAAGCAGGATATGAGGTTCTGCAAGTCTTCCCTGAACTGAGTCATGCGGGTTGAGCCCTGTAGCTGTTCACCTGATGGCTCGTTCCACAGGGAAGACTCTGCAAAGATGGACTGAAAATAGTGATGATGAGGCAGGCGACTGTCAGAGGACACAGGCCAGACTGAGAAACTACACCGTTTGGAAGTCATTGCAGGATTACTCTAGATCTGTTACAAAACTGCTTTGTTATCATGCAGGCAGTCTCGCATAGCCTGACTTTTGACTTGCAGCATAATGTCTGGTCCAAAGTGCCGCCCACTTATGACCGACATGAAAAGCTGACCTACACTAGCCTCATTTTATAGGGCTGAGGTTCTCCAAGGCACTCCATTGTCCATAATAATGTTGAAAGGCCTCGGCTTCCTCGACTATTTAGTTATTTGCTGAATAAAGATCTGTTTTTTAAGGACTTCCTGACTAACAGTTTTCCACCAAGGCAACCTGGATTAGTGAAATATAATTGACTAAACTGACATTGGAAAACCAAAATGGCATCGAACACACATTTTTAAAGCAGAATAACTGACTTAAGCATTGTTTTTCAGATAAAGAAGAGTGTTCAACTTTAATATCTGCAAGCATATTATGGTATTTTAAGTCAAAAATTTACATACAGCACCTGTAAGGTATTATTTCATCACAGCTGTGAAGAATATCTATGTAAAACTGCTTCTTGAACAAGAAAATCCAGGGTTGGATTTGATTTTGTCAGTTGTTGTTTGCTATTGGTCAATTTCTTGACAGGCTGACATATCAATCATGCCATCACTTTTACGTTGCATTTTATGGAGTTATAGGTTGCATCACTATGTCTTCCATTGTTTTGTCCTTGTTTCTATACTGATATATGGGCTGATAAATGCACATGTGATATACACTTTACTGAGCCTGATTTACTAAAACAAAACTAGACAAACACAAGGAAACTGCAAAGAAACATCTTCATCTTTATTTTCCCCAAATCATTTACAAATTGCAATTCTAAAAAAAAAATCTATTTGGAAATTCACGTCTACGATGTGACGTCTCTAATCACCAATGTATTTGCTTTTATGCGTTTCTCTTACATTCACCATTATTGCCTTTCATTTTTAAATAGAGAACGTGTCTGTTTTTAGACCTCGCGGCCTCGATTCTGCATCCATGCAGTGACAGCATAAAAATGATATGCAGTTCTATACACTTCTAAATGTGCTTGTCTTAGTGAAATAAAGGGTTCATCCTTTTCTGATGTACGACACAGGAAGCCTAGACAACGGCAAACCACAAGTAAACATCTTTCACTGAATGTCTTTAACCTTTATGTATTGTTTAAATTGACTCTACTTTTGTTATGTTAGTGGCTGTTTTTGCCCCATTGACTTCTATTATCACAACATTATTTCAATTGTAAAGCCATGACACCATTTGGGAAGAGGTCAAATTTTATTTTAACACAATTGATCATCTGTTGACACCATTAACCCCTTAGATAAGCATAAGCAAAAAAATCCGGTTTTTATATGGAGTTCTATGGAGTTAAACAGCAAATTACAATGTGCATGCATAAAAACACTTTACTATGTTCTGAGAGCAGAGGTGCTTATGCTTTATTTTCCTTAAACATATCAAAATAAGTGTGCATAGGTCTCTCTTAAACACACACACACAAACTATCCTCCATATAAAAGCCAGAAACAAGCTTTTTTTTGCACTGTAACCAATGATCTACAGTAAAATTGACACATTGTCTCTCTTCCCAATAAAGAAAACCACAAACCACAAACAATAAAGAACAATAAAGGTGTCGTGGCTTTGCAATCAAAAAAATGTTGTTATAATGGAAGTCAATGAGTATTTGAAAAATTCCATAGCATTTTCCCAAAATATGTATCAAAGTAAGATTTGTCACCAATAAAAATCATTCCGTTTGCTGTAACACAGAAAGTTGAGGCCAAATTGGGCCTTAAAATTCCCCCAGAGTGGATGAAAACATCCCCAACAGCACACAAGGGTTAATCAAGACCGTAAAATAAGCAACGGATTCTGGGAAGCTGATGTTTTTTTGTGTACGTGTCAGCGTTACAGTCAGAATGTGATGTCTTTTAAACCCACACAAGCAGACAAGAAGCTCTAACCAAGACCCTAAGCTAATGATTACAGCGAAGAGCAAAGGCCCATTCTTGCTCATTAGCCCAAATTAGAAATGTTGAGGAAAGGCTTTCCACCTAATGTACACTGATTGCGACTATTCTTGTTTAAAAAGGTATTTTTGTCTATGAAAGGGATATACAGAAGGGAATATAAGGCCAATTAGGAACATTTGTATGTGGGAGGCTGAAGGACAGCTCTGACATTACGGTGTTATTATAGGGAATAATGGTCTTCATTACGACAGTAAATTGAGTGGTTAATGACTAAATTACCTCTTGGTAATCATGGGCTTTTCTCACAGAGACTTAAATCTGTTTTGCATTGTTTAGTGGTAAGTACACTGGTGTCTTGTGTTGTTCAACCGCAGTTTTACACTGAGGTTTTAAGATGCACTGGATGTGACACCTTGGATCTCTTTTCCACAGAGCCTACCTGGAAGTCCTGATCATCGATGACGAACCTCTCTCTCAAATTACGGAAAACAAGAGGACAATACTCCTTGAACTTAAAATGGCTTGGCATATTCTCTCTGAAAACAAAAAAGGAAAATCCTTTAAAAAATGTATTAATTTGAATTGAAATCCACATGATTTTTTCTGCATTTATTTTTTTATTTCTGATATAGATAGCCAATTTAGCAAAGAAATTTACTCATTTATTTGAAAAAGTTCACAAAACAAAAAGGTTCTAATTTGGATCAAAACATTGTCAAACGTCTCAGAGGAACTCACTTGTTGAATAGGTGATTGTCCACCTTAATCTTCGAGTAGGCTTTGAAGTCATCAGGCATAAGCATGATGGGGATTTGAACATGGCTCAACTCGTTTATCTGGAGAAAATGAGGAGAGAGATAGACAGAGATTCAGTTAATGATACTTTGTTCAGTGTTGAGGTCTTCAAATGAGTGTCAAATGTGATGGTCACTGAATATGGCAAAATAAATTTGTGACCAATACTAAAAGAGTGTAGGTTAGCCTTTAAAAACATACATATAATACACTTTAATTGTAGCATAATCAATACTATTGAAATGTAATAATGAAATTATTAAAGTAATTATATACTTTTGAAAATACACTCAAAATTAATGTACTTAAAGTAAGGGTGTGTTTGACTACAATTGATCAGAATCAGTTCATTAAACTGTCAGACAGTTAGTACTGAGTAACAAAATCATAGCACTCCATAAACCTGCTACCAGAACAAACTAAAAATACACAGCTTTATCAAGAACACATTTTTGCAAAAAAAAAATATATATATTATAATGCATAAATCTATAAATAAATAGATAAAAAAATAAATACATGTAACAAAAAAAATTAAAACACACAACTTCATAAAATGAACATCAGGACTCTAGACTAAGACAAAACACTCACATTTTTTAGATGTCACAATGATTTGACTGCAAAATTAACGTATAATTTAAAAGTAATGGGCAGGCGATTATGTTAAAGGCTCATCCATTTACTCTCTGCTTTTGCTTCCCCTTTCCCTATTGTACTATCCTCTCTGGTAAACACACATGGTAAAATGCTTTTCTGCAACATCTACATGTACACTTATTTTGTCATTCTGATTAAAATCATTCCGGTTAAAAGGTTTAGTGGACTGTGTAAAGATTCTACTGTGGTGTTTAAATGTGTTGGTGCTTTCAGTTGTTTTGCACACAGGCTGTTCAGTTTGCTGCCTTTCATTCCTGTCAGCATTAGTTTGGTTTTTTCTTCCACAGTGGTTAAATAAATTAAATCTCATAATCAAACAACAGCATTAAAAAAAAAAAAAAAAAAAAAAAAAAAAAAAAAATATATATATATATATATATATATATATATATATATATATATATATATATATATATATATATTATTTTATGCTGTTGTTTGATTATGAGGTTTAATTTGATTAACCACTGGAATATTGTGGAATATTGTGAATAAAGCGGCGTTTTCATCCAACATGTCAAAGAGAATAATATTGTCACTTTATGATAAACTGGCTCCAAATAGCTAAAGTATAAACATAATTTGCTGCAGTCAGAGAAGCTGCGTGAATCTTTTATTTAATAAATGCCTCAGAAGACAAATGCCGATGTGCAATGAACATGTGGTTGCATTTGAAGGAGTGAGACACGGCGCAAAGATGCTCTTGACAGGAAGTAATTAATAATTTAATAACATTATACTGAAATGGGTAAGATGCTTTAGAATGACCAAAACAACATTCCAGATGTTTTAAAGTGTGCTCAGCCTGCTGGTTTGTACATTCACACACATTTTTATCATCACATGATCTCTTATGACAAAATCACATGACCTTTTACTGAAATTTGATTGGTAAAAGTGTTTCCATCATAGATTATCCACATATGTTCTTATCGAATAAAAAGTTTATCCTACTCAGGTATTCGCATATGTTTTTTATGCACATTTTCAAAATTAATGCGCATCTTGGCGTTTCCATCAACTGTTTTTTATGCGCCTATCCAAAATGTGCAGAAAAATAGGTGGATGGAAACAGCTATAGTTGAACAGAAGTCCTACACAGATTCTACATGTTGAATTGGGCAAACTCCTTATGTGTGAAACACACCAAATAAACTCAACTAGACTCACTGAAAGCTTGAAGTTGCTCAATGGCCGAACACTGGCTTGGTGTGTCCAGGCCTCAAGTCTTCTGATGAGACACAATCACTTAATTAGATTTGATTTAGGCCCAATCCCTATTCTAGCCCTTACCCCTACCCCTCATTTTGCGCGTTTATGTGAAGAAATAGGAGTGTCCCAATTCTCTTTAGTTTTAAGGTGTAGGGCTAAAGGGAAGTTCTAGATAGCCCTTGAAACTTATATTTTTTAGGACCACACCTGAAACCAAGAGGTATACACCATGTACAACGGCAGGATGGCTGCACACAGAACTCAGCAGATCCACAAAATAGTATTTTTTGTCATTAATATGAATTTTTACAACAAACAAGCACGTTTACTTACAATGTACATTTATTATGGCGTTTGTGTTTTAACATCATGCTTAAAAAAAAAACGCTAAAATCAAAACCGCTAAACTTTGCTATCTATAATACATAATAATAACTCTTGTACAGCAGTCCCACAACATACTGTCACATCTGACACTCGATGAGACTCAAAGACCCTGTCAGAAAAGTCTAGTGGCTGGGAATAAGCTTTGTCTGGTATAATGTTAATGTTGTTTTCGTAGTTACATAGTTGAATATGACCATGATGTACATACACATACAATTATTGCCACATTATATCGTTATGATAAAATAATATTGCTGCCTTCAGTGATTTCCGAAAAATAAATACTAAATCATAACGCAACAGCAGTTGCAATTGTCGATCTCATAAAGCAAGAGATCGCAATGACATTTGATGACATGTGCAGGTGTTGTGGTGGTGTCCCATTTCTTAGGGGTGATTTTGAAAAACTGGGAGCTGTGGAAACTTTGATCGTGGGAGCTGAAGCATAGCAGACTGATGCTTTAAACCATTGATGATTTTCTAGTGTGTAAAGTAGGTATACGTGAGCTTCTGTTTCTATATGTTCACTGGTCAATATTTATGTGGAAATCAAAAGCTAAATAAAACCGGTTTATTATATGAACAGATTGCGTCTCTTTAGAATTAAATCAGTTTATTAATGTACCTTATTTATATCTTCATAAACATTTTGAAGCATTAGAGTCCTGGGTAAATAGATTTCTCATATTTGTCTAAAAATATCTTTCTTTTTGATGAAGATAAACGGAAGTCTTTTGGGTTTGTAAAGACAATAAGGGGAATAAATGATGCTGCAGTTTTCAATTTAGACTGAACCAGCCCATTAATATAATTAGTCATGTGACAGCGAACCAATCAATGCAGACAAACAGCAGGTGCTGAGATGTGCTGGTACAGTGTGAGTGATGTGTTGTGCTCATCAGAGGCGATATCTCTGTGACACAATGCACTGCTTTACACTGCTCGAGATCTGAAACAATGTGCTACATTCAACAGTCATCGGTTCCTGCTTTGCTCTTGTGAAAACAACACTAAAATGATCTCGTAATAAAACTGTAATAACGGAATTTACTGCAGTTCTGTAAAAAGCAGGAATTTTATATTGCTGTGCACCGTGTTTATGCCAACAAAGAAAGCTGATGACTCATAGGTTCTTTCCTTCTATTAAAAAATAAATAAATAAATACCAATAGCACTAAGAAAACTCTAGAGGACTGCAGAAGGCTTTAATTACTGTGATATATTTGTTTGTTTGAGGATGTGCATGCACCGGGATAATTATAAGTAATCAAATAGGCATGAAGCACCATGGGAGATTGAAGATTTTGTGTTTGACACTTTCGGCAGTGACAGACAATCAGCAAAGCAGTTAATAATAAATGCATAACCTGTTGTATAAAGAGTAATGGGTGCAGCAATATAACGATCACAGCCTACAATGGGTTTTGGCTTGTATTAAAAACTGAGGCTAAATTTATAAAAAAATAAAAATGTAAAATCAACTGCTGCCTGCAAGTGAAACTGATCCTCCCTTCACTTTCGTCAGTTGGTAAAGTTTGTTCCTCACCACTGTTGCCACTGGCTTGCTTGGTTTAGGGACTTGGAGCTGCGCATCAATGGATTTGCTCTTCAGTGTTTGGACTTTCAGCAGTGAAATTAAACCACACTGAACTGAACTTACCCTGTGAAAACTGGACTAACACAGATATAATCAACTAGAACATTTATGTTAAGCTGCTTTGACATGATCAACATTGTAAAAGTGCTATAGACAGATCAAATTTAATTGAATTATTTTTGTTTTATAATTGATTTTTGTTTTATCATTCATGGCAAAGACAGTTCAAATTCATCATTCAAACAGTATTATTTCAAGAACATATTATTAAAATTCAACCTGATGGAGCTTGAGAGGAACTGCAAAGAAGAATAGGGTGCGCCAAAAAAAGGTGTACCAAAGCATTTTACTCAAAACTATTTGAGGATGTAATTGGTCCCCATGGTGCTTCAACCAAATATTGAGCAAAGGCTGTAAATACTTCAGTACCTTTTTAGAAATTCCTAATAAATTTGCAAAGATTTCAAAAAACTTCTTTCTGGTAAATTTTCATTTTGAGGTGTTGATTGTAAAATTGAGCAAAATAATGAATTTAATCCATTTCCAAATGTGGTATTTTACGGATACACCATGTACAATTGCATTAAAAAAGGGACGCTCCAATCAGGATTTTTGCAACCGATACACAGTACCAATTCTTTGTGATGTTGATCGGCCGATAACAAATACCGATTCTGATGCTTTAAGCTTTATAATGCATAAAGCATATTTTCAGTAGCCCCTTTCACACATACAGACCTTTCCGGAAAATTACCGGCAATTTTCCGGAAAGGTTGTATGTGTGAACAGGTCCTTTTTGAAAATACCGGTAAATTCGTTCTGGCTATTTTCCAGAAAGAGAAGTTGTAACATTACCGGCAATTTGCCGGAATGCTGCGCTGTGTGAATGCAGAAGGAAGATTGCCGTAATAAGCGCGTCCACGTCCAGAACGGGCTGACGTGAGACACCTGTTTTAGCCAATCAGAACAGTCAGACGCATTCACGTGCGCGCGGTTTATGAGAATAAAAGCCTTTGAATATTTTTTCCAGACACCTTTAGCTGCTAGATGTTAGTCAGATAATGTTTCTATGTTCCTTCTTAATGCTGTGTAAATAATTATCGATAAAATGTTTATGATAATCCGTTGTTTGTTTACCTTCAAGCTTTGCGTGTGCCCGTGAGCGCTCATAGCGCCAGCACACAC